TCACGATGCTCCTTAGAAGCCAAGAGGGTGAGAGTTTGTTTCTCATACTTCAAACATGTTGTAAGGATGGACAAGTTGCTTGAAGAAGATATCATGCTTGGTAAAGTGGAGGGTCGGCGAAAAAGAGGACAACCCCCCATGAGATGGACTGGAACAGTGGTAGCAGCAATGGCAGTTGAAGTGTAGCAACAATTGACGATGTGCAGGATTGAGCACTGTTTGGTTCTGTTGTGCCTAGTGTCCCTATGAGTAGAAACCTACTCAATGGCACCGAATAGCAAAAACATTTCTGGTGACTTGCTATAGTGTTTTGTTGTTTTCTTTACATATGTCTTTTATATTCCTTCCTTGTTGTTGTTGTGAAGTGTCATTGAGTCAGAAATACCATCAAGTTGGTTCTGACTCATAGCAATGCTATAAAGTTTTTCCCAAGGAGCAGCTGGTGAATTTCAACTGTCAACCTTGAGGTTAGCAATCAAATGCTTATCCTATAGCGTCATACCAACAGTTCTAATGATATTTATTCCAGTATATAATGGGGCTTCAAAAGTCTCATAAGAAAATTCTGTTATCTTTTATTTATAGATTTAGACAAACTCTTTGAAGCCCCCTTGTATTTTATCTAATGGTGAGGCTATTATAAATGGTATTGTGTTCCCATTTTCTTTCTCAAAATTCTCTTTGTTACTGTTGTTATTGTTAAGTGCCATCAAGTTGATTCCAACTTATAGCGACCCTGTTAAGGGTTTCCAGGGAGCAACTAGTGGGTTTGAACTGCTGACCTTGTGGTTCCTAGTTCGGTGGTGATCCTACAGTGCTATACCAGTAATCCATTTTTGTGTGGAGGCAGACAAATTATGTTTTGTATATTGATTTTGTACCCTGACTCTTTGTTCAATCCTTTTAGTTCCAGTAGCTTTCATGTAGAATCTCTGGAATTTTCCATGTATCATATCACCTGTGAATAGGGCTGAGTTTGCTTCTTTACCAATTTCGATGTTCATTATTTCCCTTTCTTGCTTTACTGTTCTAGCTAAGGCTCCCAGCACAACACTGAATAAGAATGGTAATAAAGGGCATCCTTGTTTGGTTCCTATTCTCAAGGGAAGTACTTTCAGTCTTTCTACATTGAGGATAATGTTGGCTGTTGGCTTTTCAAATATACCTTAAATTATGTAGACAAATTTCCTGTCTTTTCCTATTTTTCTGACACTTTTATTAGGAAATGGACCACACCCATTCTTTTTTTTTTTTTTAATGCAATATATATATATATATCTTGCTCATATATATGACAGTCACAAAAGGAAGCATATAAAAATTTAGCCAAGGTAAAAAAAACCTGTATCATAAACACAACCTAACTATTTCTATAATTTGATTTTTCAGTGAAATCCAGTACTAGTATTGGATTAGTAGGCTCGAGTTTTGGTTGTTACTGGCAGATGCTGTTCATCAGAGAAACAAGTGATGGTTGAAGATGGACAAGAAAGCAAGTGCCAGACCACTATGATCAAGGTCATAATAGAAAATTCTGGATAAAAAAGGAGAACAAAGGTAAAACAAAATAAAAAAACATTAAAAATATGAGATTTACTGGGCTGATATGATAGAGACTAGTGGAACCTCTGAGACTTTAGTCCTTAGACGACCCACAAGCCTAGAACTGAACCCACCACCAGGGATCAACTTCCAGCCAATGTTGTTATTAAGTGCCATGGAGTTGGTTCTGACTCATAATGACCCTGTATAGGGTTTCTGAGTAAAAGTTGGTGGGTTTGAACTGCTGACCTTGAGGTTCACAGTTCCTATAAAGTACAAAATAATACCCATGAGGAATTCTCATCAGAAAGTACTCCTCAGAACAGTCAACTATATGAGCCCTGTAGAGGCAGCATTTAGCCAAACTGAAAGTTCAGCAAAAAGGGACAGACAACAAGTGAAGGAAGGGGGGAGCAGTACTATTATATTGAGGGGGTCTGCACCCAGTGTCATGAGACAAAATGTATATAAATTGTTGAATGGAAAACAATTTGTTCTGTAAACTTTCACCCAAACTACAATAAATTTAGAAGAAAGAGTCTCAAGAGAGTGGTGTTACATATAAAGAGCAAGGGATTTAGTGAAATATAGAATGGTTGCCTTAAAGAGATTTTCATATTTTTTCACAACAGAATTCTTGTAGGATAGCCATTCGCTTGGTACCCAGGAAGAATGAGCAGGTGTGTTGACATCATTTAAAAAAAAATTCTACGGTGCAAATTTCCTGGCTGTTTCCTCATTATTGCAATTCTCTATTTTCTTAAAACTTCTTCACAATAAGAGCCTGTGATCATCCTGTGTCCTTTGAGAAAAATCTGTCAAGATGACCCCTTAGGAGTCTCAAAACAACCATCATCATAACCTCCTAACCTTCTGAGCTGACTTCTGTCTTGAATTTAACAAGCCCAGCAGAGCCCTTCAGAAGCCACTGTGTTTTTTTTGTTGTTGTTGTTGTTTTTTAAAGATACCCTAAGGAGATTAAGGCAAGTGCATGACTGAGAGAACTTGTCTGTAGTCATGCACTGATTGCAGAGACATGTTTAAACACATTTTGCTTGTAATAAACCCATGTTTGTATGAGCTGGAACCCTAGTAGCAATACTTTCTGATTTACCCTTGTGTGGGTCACATTTTGATTTTCAGAGGAACTCTTTTTGCAGACTTAATTAAGCCACAAAAAGGTTCTTTGTTTTCAGTTATCATCTTCAGCTTTAAATACTACTCTTATTGCCTGTGACTAACAATAAATGAAGTGTTCCTTTTTTATATAGTCACAGTGATGGTCATTTAACAATAAACTTTTTTATTACCCAAGTTCTAGCCAATTAGGGCATTTATAAGCTATTCTTCTCCATCATCCTTAAGCTGAACTTTGTAAGTTGTGTAATAACACAGTTTGTCTGAAAAACAATACTTCCATAATCACATGACACAGTGCAAGTCGTATCCAATGGGTTTGTGGTTTTCCAAATTTGAGATAGGCACGTAGTTTCATCAGTGAGTTGAGATTTAGTCTTGTTCTCCTTTGATTCCATAAATGGTGGTTCCAACTTTAAAATGAGGCACTTAACTTACAACTATTTTCTTCAACTTTCCTTTTTTACGTTGAGAAATGACATACAAGTGTCTTCCATGTTGATAAAAGAACACCAAAAACTCTCTCGCTGACATAACATATTTAATTCACAAAGCCCATGTTTCCTATCCTTTAGAGATTTCTTAGACAAGACTCTAATAAAAATAAAACTATCTGAAATGTGGAGTCCTGATGATGCATTGAGCTGCTAAGGCAGTTTGAATCCACCAGCCACTCCAGGGGAGAAAGATGAGGCTTTCTGTTCTGCTAAAGATTTCCTAGCCTTGGAAACCCTATACAGTGTCCTTGTAAGTCAGAATCAACTTCAAAGCACACAGCAACAAAATCATCTTGCTTATGTGTTTACCAGGAAGGTCCAAGACCCCAAATTTGTATTTGTCTAAGAAGTAAAAGAGACCCATATGTTGAATTACTGGAATAGAAAGCAAAATTCCTGGTTTGCTGTACTGAAAATAACATTCTTGAATTTGAAGATTACAGACACACACTCAATATTCTGATCATGTTTGTAATCTATGTAATTCCTATTGACTTTTTGGCAGAAATAATCTCAGATCAGTGGTTTCATACTTTGTGTTTCTCCTAAATTGTTGAAAATCTGTCGGAACTTATTAAAGAAGACAAGAATATTTTTCTTCCATAGTTGCAGTAAAATTAATCTGAACTTTAGCGGTTCAAGCTCACCAGCTGCTCCTGGGAAACCCTATACAGGGTTGCTGTGGGACAGAACCGACTCAATGGCACTTCACAACAACAACAATTCCATTGTGATCTCAGTAGTCACATAAACTATTTAATTCTTCACTTCTCCTGGCTGTGACATAACACAGCTTTGATAAGAAATAACTGTGATTGCACCTTTTCATTGACTTTTGATGAAATTGGTTTCTCTTTATTAGCATAAAATAATAAGGAAGACTTCTAAAGCTAGATTTTTTTTTCCTTTTATGTTTGTAGGGGTGGGGAAGTACACCAAATTTGAAGTCATTCTGCTTCTATTTTTTATAAACTGTTTTAAAGTAATTGCCAGGAGATTTTGTCTAGAAAAAGTGAAATCTAGTACTAGTATTGGGAACTTCTCAACTCAGTTGCTACAGGAGCAGCAGGGTAAGGAAAAATCCTCTTGCTCTTCTTCTCTGTGATATACGGCATGAGGGTTGGCCCTGGTTTGGTCCACCTGCCAACACAGTTTAAAGTTTCCGAGGCTCAGAGGAACACCAGGACTTGGATCTAACAGCTTCAATGGGAAAGAAGGTTAGTTGTGCTACATCTAGGAAGACGTTAAACTTCTGCTAAACTGTATGCTTCTTTTTTATGCTTGTGCGCACTACTGACCTCATTTTCCATTGACCAAATTATTATTTCTGACAATCCAGGATACCCCGAAAGCTTGGAGACATATGGCTGGAAAATGAAACGACCCTGGAGTGTGTGGCCACATCATTATTTTGCTGTCGCGTGATATCAGATGGGCAGTCTTTGAGTGGCGCAGAGATGTGGACCGGCAGTTTTACAATGTGAGCCCAAACAGCATTTTCTTATGGTCTGTGGCACTTGCTTTCATTCCCTACTCCTCCACTCCCTTCTCTGCAATATCGATTAACTCAACTTTGCAGTGGGGTAGCCAAAAAGGAAGAGCATGAGGCGACCTGGATCCTCATAGCTAGTGTCAAAGGTGTCGCAGCGCTCTGTCGTCCTACGCGGATTTCAGGGCTGACACCCAGCCTGCGGCGATGAAGCCGGCGGTGCACTCAAGCGGCCAACGCTAGAGACCCGGAGCCTTCGCTGATCTCGCCGCAGCCTCCTAGGCCGGGTTGCTTTACAGCCGTTTGATTCCCATTCTCACGGTTCTTGGAAAGTCATGGAAGACGGCCCGCTGCCAGACCTCAGGGACCTCGAGCTGAAGCTGGGGCGCAAAGTGCCCGACAGCTTACTGCGCTCACTCCGCGGGGAGGAGCCGGTTCCCCGAGAAATGGACAGGGACCCCTGCGGGGGGAGCTGCAGTGGCGCCGGTGGTGGCTGCAGTTGCAACAGCAGCAGTTACAGCTTCCCTCCCTCCTTGTCGTCCTCCTCTTCGTCCTCCCCAACCTCTGGCTCCCCACGACGTAGCCACTCCAACGCTCTGGAGAGGTTGGAAACCAAGCTTCACCTTCTCAGGCAAGAGATGGTGAGTGTGGGGTGCCAGCCAGGAGCGGGGGGGGGGGTGTGTGTGGAGGGGCCGAGGGCCCAGGGCGGGAAGGGAGTTCGATCAGATGATGGGGCCTCGAGGAGAAGGCGGCTAGGGCTGCAGAGCTAGAGCTGAGCTCGTGGGAAACGCGGGGAGGCTTGTTTACCCCGGACTTTGCTGGGTTATGGTTTGCTACCACCGCAGAGTCTGCCCTGCTCTGGGTATTTTCTGGTAGTCGCCACCCTGTGCTTAGCTATGACCATTCTGCAATCTCGGAGCATTGGCCTATAGAGGGTTTGCAATCGCCGCCCCCCTATGGGGCCTGCTGGACGCTGTCTGCACTTCCGATAGGTTCAAAAGGTGGCTCAGTTCATTGCACTCACAGCAAAGATACTTCCTGGTTTGCCCGGAGGTGGCGCGGCGGGGGCCCTGCAGCCCTCCTTTTTACTCACTCCTCTTCCAACACCTCCCTCCCTCTGATGCTGCAGCTGCCGCTGCTCCAAGGCCACACTGGAGCTGATCCTCCACAGCTGGCTCTGAAAACAATGGCTCAGTCATCCCTGATGTCCTTAAGAATGACTTGTCACAATGTTTTGATCCAGGCGAGCAGGTGATCCCTGGACTCAGGGATTTCTTAATGACTGCCTCCCACTCTTCCTCCTCAGTCCTCAATCTGCAGTTGTTTTCCCTGCTGTTTGCAAACATTAGCCTAAGAATAGGACAATAGAGGGAGTATTGAGGCCAAGGATAGTTGTTCTTCCGGATGTATTTAGACTGAGACACTTATTATTTACTTGCTTCTGGACTTAACAACTATAACAACCTCAGTTCTTAGGCAAGTCACTTAGACTCTGTGGACCTCAGTGTTCACATAATGTGAGCTAATTGTAGAGGAAATGATCCCTGTTTAAATCTTTTGAAGAAAATGACTACGGAGCTACAGAATTTTATACCAGCTTGAAAAGAAGGAACGTTGCAACCGATGTCTTCAGACAGGGATGGAATGGTGAGCAGAAATGCCTTAATAAATGACCAGGTGTAGTTGGCGATTGTCATTTAAAAGAAGTAATCAGAGGTATTTACTTTGTTACTTTTTTTCAGCCTTTGGAAGACTCCAGAGAGAATTAGTTTCAGAGCATAAAGTAATCTTGGCAAATATCTTCGAGCTAGAGGTCAGTCTTCAGAAATCAAGTCCTGTGTCTAGAACTTTCACTCTGCTGGCATTGTATGATAAGCACTGGACTGTTGTTGTTAAGTGCCGTGGAGTCGGTTCCGACCCATAGCGACCCTGTACAGGGTTTCCGAGGGTGTAAATCTTTACGGGAGTAGAAAGCCTCATCTTTCTCCCGCGGAGTGGCTGGT